ATTAGAGAGGCGAAATGAAACTTAAGTGAAGAAATCTTCAATTTCTTCATACATTCTGTAATTGTTCTTTGTGATTCTTAGTGGATTCGAGCATAATCTACTTTATAGATGCTCAATGGGTGAGTAGGCTTTCAAGTTGAACATCTGGGCCCTAAGGGGTGAAAAATCTGTGTGTTCTTTGTTTCTGCAATTTTGTTTTTTCTGCCTTTATATTTTTGTATACGGATCGTGATTTTGGAACCAACATACACCAAACAACAATGGGAAGCCGAACACAACCAGAATAAATATAAAATAACTTACATTTCTGGTGTATGAACAGATGATTATGATGATTTAGACGCCTGCATCTTCTTTTTGACCAAGAAAATGAAGATTCGTGGGAAGAATGATTTCTTCTTTTTCTTTGTGACTCTTATTTCTGGAGAGGATTCAGTTCTGTGTTGCTGGAGTATGTCTTTGAACTTGGCCTATATTGGAGTGTAGAAGGATCAGGTATGGTAAAATTGTTCGATTCTTTTCTCTCCTCGAAGCTTTCACTTGGACTTTTATTTGGATTTATGACTGCTGAAACAGATTCGCTGGCTTTCTGTCTTCGCTCATGCTTAGCCCTCCACTTTCTCTACTCCTGTTCTACCTTCCTTGGCTTTCTCAGCTTTCTCCAATGCAATTTTTGAATTTGGCTTCCTTAAGCTTTGTCAAGCTTCTCAAGTCGGACTCCTTGGCTACTTCAATTTGGGTAATAGCAGCAGCCACCCACATGTTAGCTTGCTCTTCGGAAAGCTCGTAATATTCTTCTAAAGAAAGTGTTACTCCAGTTGTTGAATCCTCATCGGTAGTCCTTTGAGCCGATTCACTCTCTTGCAATGCATTGATAGTTTCTAATGCCAATTTCCCAAAAGCCCTTGTCGCTTCTATTTCCTTTTAGGTTGCGCATAATCGACTCTCACGGTACTTGTTCTAGCTTTTGCTTGTTCAGTGTTAGAGTAATGAATTCAACATGGCACTACTACCTGGCAGCCAACCATCTAACCGTATCCATAGTGGAAGACAATAGCATATGCTGATACTGGAATGCATTTTAATTTGTTAGGCCACATATCAAGTTGTTAGATAGAATATTCTCTCTTTGTATGCTTTGTATGTATAGCCATCTCTGTGAATATAAGATAGATTGAATGTAAAACAGCTATGGTGAAAATTACTCAATCATTCATTCATTTAGGCTTCGTATCAGAGCCATAAAATGGCTAATACCGATACAAATAATCAGTCTGCTCCAACCAATACAACCTTCACCCAGTCAATATGAATCAAGTCTTACCAGTTGAGATAAATCTCACTCAAACACCACCTCTTAAACTTGACAGAAATATTTTTTGCTATGGAAAAATATGATTATGTCTATAATCAAAGGACATAATCTTGAAGGTTATTTACTTGGCATAAAGAATTGTCCATCGGAATTCCTAGGCACACAGACGACCGCCAATGGAGAAGAAGCATTAGAAATGGTCGAAAATCCTGAGTACAACAAATGGAACTCAGCTGACCAACTGTTAATGAGCTAGTTTTGCTCATCCATGACACCGGAAATAGCTATGAGAGTCATAGGATGTACCAGTTCAAATGCGTTGTGGACTGTAATAGAAGAAAGTTATGGTATACTAAACAATCCAAGGGTTATTTTTCTTACCGGAGAGCTGCAGAGAACAAGGAAAGGATCCATGACTATGGATCAATATCTCACCACCATTAAGCAACTAGCTGATAACCTGCAGATTGTTGGAAAGACAGTTGGTCATAGTGATCTTGCGACTCAAGTCTTGTCAGGTTTGGATGAAGAATATACACCCATTGTTGTGCAGATCAACAGTACGGAAATCATATCATGGCATGAGTTATCCTCCGTGCTCATGACTTTTGAAAATAGGCTTGAGTATTTGAATCAAGCCAGGAATAATTTCATATCATTTCATGTTGGACAATCAAGTATGCAGCTTGTTCAGAGAGTAGGTTTAGGAAGTGGTAGAAGTTTTAGATGAACTAACAGTGGCAGAACAATGAGTTTCAGAGGAAGAACAAGAGGAAGAGGCAGAATAGGCAGGCTAAATGAAAACAGGGGACCCTGTCAGATTTGTGGATTAAACAATCATACTGCGAGCTGGTGTTTTAACAGGTACGATGATAGATACATGGGAAGTAGACCTAACAATCAAAATCCTTAGAATAGAAACTCAAATCCTACTACATATGTGGCTTCACCAAAAACTCTTGAAGACCAAGCTTGGTTTGTTGATTCAGGTGCAAGTAGTAATGTCACAGTTGACAAAGGTAAGCCGAGTTCTGTTGGGAGATATGAAGGAAATGAGAAACTACTAGTTGGCGATGGAAACTCTTTACAGATTTCACACATTGGCAGAGGAAACATTCCATGACAAAATAATAGATCTCTTGCACTAAACAATTTACTTCATGTACCTGAAATCAAGAAGAATTTAATTAGTGCTTCACAGCTCAAAAATGATAACAATGTATTTATGGAATTTTACTCTGATTGCTAAGTTGTTAAGGAGCTGAAAACCAGGACGATTCTCGACTGAAGTCACCAAGCCCTAGTCCCAAACTCATAACCAAAGAGTCACACCATCAAAATAACTCCAACTGCTTCTCAGTAATGTCCAATTGTGATGTGCCAACCAAAAGAGTCAAGGTGTTAGAAACAGAACCTGATATGTGGCATAGGAGATTAGGCTACCCTTCAAATCATGTTTTGAGTCAAGTACTAAAGTCTTGTAATAAGTTCATGAACGTTAATGAAATTCCAAGTTTCTGTGAATCTTGCCAATTTGGAAAGTCTCATGCACTACCGTTCAATACTTCTACTTCAAATTCTTCAAGTCCATTAGACCTAGTTCACACTGATGTTTGGGGACCTGCACCAGTTATTTCTACTTCAGGATTCAGGTACTATATCATCTTTGTTGATGATCATAGCAGGTTCACTTGGATATATCCCATGAAATATAAATCTGAGGCACTAAATATCTTCACTCAATTCAAAATTCTAGTAGAAAACAAGTTTGAAAGGAAGATAAAAACATTGCAATCTGACTGGGGATGAGAATTCAGAAACTTCATCAAAATTGCCTCAGAATCTAGAATAGAACTTAGGTACTCATGGGCTTATACCTCTGTGCAAAACGGTAGGGCAGAGAAAAAGCACAAACATATTACAAAAACTGGACTTACCATTTTAGCTCAAGCACAAATGCCCTTACATTATTGGTGGGAATCTTTTAAATTAGCTGCCTGTCTAATTAATAGACTACCAACTCCTGTGCTTCAACACCAGTCCCCTTTTCAAGTTCTATATGGGAAAAACTTTGACTATAGCACACTTAAAACCTTTGGTTGTGCCTGCTATCCATGTCTTAGACCTTATCAATGGCACAAATTCGAATTCCATTCACAAAAATGTGTATTTCTTGGCTATGCTAGCTCACATAAGGGATATAAAATCTGGCTTCCTGAAAAAACATTCTCAACCTCATACTTCTGAGAGCCCTTTGAGTTTTCTTCCATTTAACACTGAGTCTGGCCATAGAACAAAACTTCAGAGTGATGTTGATATAATTCATCCCAATGCACCAACTGTAGTAGACTTCTTTGTCACAGAACCTGGTCTTGAGGAAGAGCACGAGTTAAGTGAAGGGAGTAATGTTGAAGTGCATCAAGATGAACTAATTTATTAGGAGAATATTGGTATTAACCTAGGAGAATCTGGAGTTGAAGAAGTAAGAAATGAGTCAAATCTTTAGGATCATAACACAACAGAGGTAACTAGACATCACATGGTTACTAGGAGCAAGGTTGGAATCTTCAAGCCAAAAGTCTACACTAACCAAGCACAAGACAAAACAATAGAAACTGAACCTTTAACTATCAAAGATGCACTACAGAATGTCAGTTGGAATAAGGAAATGTAGAATAAGTACAATGCTCTAATGAAAAATATTACTTGGACATTAGTGTATATGCATTAGCCACAAGGTTTTTTGGACAAAAGAAATCCTAATTTCGTGTGTAAGTTGGAAAGAACCTTGTATGGACTAAAGTAGGCTCTAAGAGCATGGCACGAAAAACTCAAAAATACCCTGCTAACATAGAACTTTAACAGTCTAAAGTGGATAATTAACTCTTCTTCCTAGTTGATAGTGCAGGTGTGCTGTTCTTATTGATCTACGTGGATGATATAATCATAACAGGAAGCAACAATCAAAAAGTACAAGAGGTAATTAATAAGTTGAACACTTTTTTTGCTCTTAAGGATCTGGGAAAACTTAATCATTTCTTGGGTATGAAAGTGCACAGAGACTCGGTAGGACTATATCTAACTCAAACAAAATATACCACTGATCTACTCAAGAAGTTAGGCTATAAGCATCTTAATCCAAGCTCAACCCCGATGGCAACTGGTAAGTTAGTCTCAAAAACTGATCGAAAGGTCATGGAGGATCCAACCTTGTATAGAAGTGCAATATAAGGTCTTTAATATCTGGCAGATACCAGTACTCGACCATGCACGCACCAAACATATTGAACTTGAAGTTTATTTTGTATGTGATAAAGTACTAAGAGGCGAACTGGAAATCAATTACATACCATCATCATCAGATCAGACACAGATTTGTTGACAAAGCCTCTCACTCACTCCAGATTTTTGTTTCTAAGAGACAAGCTTGGAGTGGTTGAAACCAACTCCATCTTGAGAGGGGCGTTAGAGTAATGAATTCAACATGACACTACTACCTGGCAGCCAACCATCTAACCGTATCCATAGTGGAAGACAATAGCAGATGCTGATACTGGAATGCATTTTAATTTGTTAGGCCACATGTCAAGTTGTTAGATAGAATATTTTCTCTTTGTATGCTTTGTATGTATAGCCATCACTGTGTATATAAGCTGGATTGAATGTAAAACAATTGTGGCGAAAATTACTCAATCATTCGTTTATTCAGACTTTCAACTTCCTCCACCTTTCTAAGTTCTTCACGAGCTATTTGAGCAAGTGATTTTGCTTGATCTGCCTCTTGTAGTTTCTTTGGTAGCTCTACCACTTTATCTCTTTCTTCTTTCTCCTTCATCTGAATAAAAGCAATCTCCGACTTTGTACTGTTTAGCTCGGTTTCAAGAGACGCAATTGCAATCGACGCCATTCCTTCTCTCTGTTGAATGGCGTTGAGTTCCGATTTTTCTTTCTCCAGTTCTGAGTTCAATGATGTAGCCGCCACTTTTAAGTAGTTCACTTCTACTGTTGCTCTCTCAATATTGAGCTTCACTTCTTCAATTTCTTTCTTGGCGCAGTAACGGCCGCTTGAATCTCACAACGAGTTTTTTTCTCTGGTTCCTCAACTATATCCCTCAAATTTTCTTCTTCAAAAGTTTCGTGTTCAACTGTTGATTCCATGTATGCTACCAATTCTGATTTCAATTCTCGTAATAAGACTGAAACAGCATCTAACTTTGATTTAAGATCATTTGCAGACAATGTTTGCTCATTTAGTTTCTCTAGTTCCTCTTCTGCCTGCTTCAATTCCTTCTCCCAGTTCAGAGTCCCATCTTTCATCAACCTTTAATCCTATCTATGCTTATATGTCAAGCGCCACAGTAATGTTTCATTTTTCGAACATTTTTTGTTTTACAATAGTTTTAAAAATCACATGAGTTGATAAGTTTAAAGTAAAGAGATAAATATTTGGCATAATAAAGATGTTTTATTACAAAATCTATAAAAGAATAAGTTATCCATAAACAATAAACAAAAACTAGTTTTTGCTTCAACATGTGGGATATCTATAACAGTCTCTAAATCAAACTCGTATCACTACTAAAAGGAAAAATAAACAACTACTATTGTTAAAAGATTATGCTTCTTGAGGGGAAGAAAGAAAAGATTTGTAGATATGCTAATGGAAAATATAAGATAAAAGGAAAATACTCGAACATTCTAGATTATGAAATAATGGGTATTTCTCATAGTATTGAAAGCTTTAAGTTATTTCTAAACACTGAATTTACTATTAGAACAGACTGTGAAGCCATAGTAAAGTTTATAAAAAGCAGAATTTTTTTGATAAAATAAGACATAAAATATGGTTAAAGTTATATGAAATATTGAATATCTATAAAATTAATATAGAACATATAGATGGAAAAAAAAATAGTTTAGCAGATAATTTAAATAGACAAGTTATTAATTTTCTAACAAATTATCTTCATAATGCAGATGGATCAGATGGTGATGAACTTTGGGAATGTCACTCTAAAAGTGGCCTCACAAAGATTTAATCTCTGATTCAAAGAAAATAATTTAGAAAGACTTCTACAAAGGGAGCGTTGCCCACCGAATAATCTTTGGATGACACGTGACTCTAAAAAAAACATCATTAATGTTTTATCTAATCATTTTAGACAAATTCACAAGGGGAAATTGCTGTCGCGGTCCCAAACCTTTTCGTTTTTTGTAAACTTTACCTCAACCTGCACTTTGTATCACTACAGGTCCCAAACTTTTGAGAAATTCACATATGTAGTCCAAAATGATGGAAAACGTTAGTTTCACCGTGAGTTGATCTCAAAAAATAGAAAAAAAAAAAGAGAAGACAAATTTTGACCAATTTAAATAGGGGTATTTTCATCCAATTCTATTTTTCCCTTTTAAAAAATCATTGGTCAGTTATAATTTCACCATCTCTCTATTTCACGGTACGAACCCAACATTCATATTCTACAATGTCGAATGAAAATAGCCAACAATCTGATGCAATTCTAAAAGATTTTGCATGTCACATATGACGTCGTCTTCCCGAACCTGTATAGGGTAAGTTTTTAAATTTTTTTTTTTCAAAATTTCTGGTTATAGACATGTTTGTCTCACAATTGTTTATCAAGTGTGATCATATAGTGCATATTTCCATAATTTTAAGTATGTTATTGTGTTGGAATAATAAAATTTACAATATTTATTCGTACTGCTTTTGCATTCATTTCATTCAACTGGGGTTTAGTGTTGGTGGCGGATTGTTATGATTTTTTTTTGTCTAGGGGAAAATTCAAGTTAGTTAGCCATAAAGCTATATTAGAGCGGTGCATTTCTCACAAAGATGAGAATTTTTGTATACAAGTATGGGAAGATGGCCTATCTAGACTACGTGCACACTGATTGGTTTAATAGATTTCTCCTGAACAATGCTATGAAGATATTAGGCTATTTTGAGAAAATGAGGTATGTGTATAAGATTGAAAAGAAGAGATTGAATGAGGTATCATTTTGGTTGCTGAAAGATTCTGACTTTATGAATGTAGTTAGGTTGCTTGGTGAGAATATGCTTGTTGAGATATGGCATGTGCCCATTGTTGAAGTGTTTGAATTTCCATGGGACGATAAAGTAGGACATGTTATTTCAATGGTTGATGTTGACACTGGTGATGTATTGGAGGAGGTGGAAAAAAAAGGGAAACTAAATGTTGACAAACAGTTTGAACATAATGTATGCTATGCATTTGAGTGATGATTTTCTAAAGGATGATGACTTGTATGTTATGGATGAGGCTGACGTAATGGTACAATTGATGAAATAGAAGTGGATGCAGGGAGTTTTGTCCTACAGGTAGAGTGAGTGACTTACATGCAAATGAAGATCACGTATTTGCAGATCACAATGAAGAGGCACATGCTAAAGATCACAATGAGTCATATGTTGCTGATACATCACCGTTGATGAAGCCCTTGCTACTTTATCCCATGTTGATACACCACCTATAGATGCACCCCCTTCTCCTACAAGTGAATTTAGTGACTTACATGCAGAAGATCATGTACCTACATGTGATGATAATATGAGTGATCAACCTATAGGTGAAGAACCATTGGTGGACCTGCATGACTATAATGAGGCACTTGCTGCACCCCCTGCAGATGCACCACCTGATGATGTACCCATTGTTGATGAAAATGTGGACCATACCAACACTAGAGAAGGAAATAAGGAATTTGAATTTGAGAAAGGCATTATGGAGTGATACAGATCATGAGCAGGAGGAAGATGTGCTTGTTGATGATAGCGATGAAGATACATTCTTCAGGTTGTCTTGGGGTTTTGATATTGGTGATGGAAATCTGAGGATAGAACATGATGGTGCAGTAGGGTATGTAGATGGTGATGGAACAGACTATGATGAGTCAGATGATATTAGAAGTATTCCAAATGATACTGAAGAAGTTGGTGGCTCTTCAAGAGCCAGGAATGAGACTTTGTTTAATCATGCTACAGACATGCAAGATCTAAAATTCCAAATGGGTACTAAGAATTTTTTTTATATTTTGTTGCATGTTAATATCATTTAAAATTAAACTGTTTGAATCCAAATAGGACAGAGCCTTTGTTTAATCCTACTTGCATGAAATTTGACAAAATAAAGATATTGAGGAAAGCAGTTGTACAGTAATCCGTTAAAAATGTAAGACATGTAAGATATGTAAAGAATGAAGGAATAAGACTACGAGTCAAATGTCAAGATAACTATCCATGGGTTTTGTATGCCTACCAGCAACCAGACAAAAGTTTCAGGATTAACACATTTAGAGATGAACATACATGTACAATGGCGTTGCATAATAGAAGAGTGCATGCTGGTTACTTGGTAAAAAAGTATACAAGGAAGTTCAGATCTGATCCAAAAATGTCTATGAATATTTCTATAGAAATAGTGAAGGAAGATTGCATGTATGAGATCTCTAAACATCAATTTTATAGTACAAGAGCTAAATGTGTAAAAGTTGTAAATGGAATTGTACCTGAATAATACAAGATCCTATGGGACTGGTGAGGAGTTGAAAAGAACTAATCCTGTTGTACAATGAAAATTGAAGGGCAAGGTCATACATTCAAAAGAATATACTTATGTTTGGGGGCTTACAAAGAATGTTTTAGAGCTGGGTATAGGAATGTGATTGGTTTGGATGGATGTTTCCTAAAAAGTGCACAAGGTGGGCACTTGTTGGCTGCAGTAGGTATTGATGCCGATAATTGCATGTTTCTTGTAGATTGGGCTATGGTAGATGATTGTAAATGGTATATAGAAATTTTAATAGTTGATATTGGGATGTGTAATGCTAGAACTTGGACCTTCAATTCTAACAAACAGAAGGGCTTGGTAGACTCCATAAATTTGTTTTGTGAGGGTACTGAGCATAGGTGTTGTGCAAGACATTATACAACAATTTCACCTTAGTGTATAAGGGACTAACTCTAAAGAGCATGTTTTGGGATGCTGCAAGGGCAACAATAGTGCTAGAGTGGAGAAGTGCAATGAATGAGAAGAAATATATGAATGAAGTAGCATTTAAATGGTTCAATGAGAAACCAGCATCACAGTGGAGCGAATCACATTTCCAGGATTATTCAAAGTGCGACATCCTACTGAATAACTTGTGTGAGGCATTCAACTCTTCCATATTTATTGCAAGAGAAAAGCCTATTATCTCAATACTTAAGAAGACAAGACATCAACAAATGCTGATGACGAATGCCAAAAGGGAAGCTGCACAAGGGTGGGACCATGGTTTTGGTCCTAGAGTTATAAGTATTGTTGAGAAAATAAAGGTAGATGCAAGGTTCTTGAAGGCTGGCTATGTTGGAAGTGAAAAGTTTGAGGTGAGCAATATGGATGGAATGAGATGGAGTGTGGACCTGATAAAGTGTGAATGTGTATGTAGAAAATGACAACTTAGTGGAATACCTTGTACGCATACAATGTCTGGTATGCTATCCATGACCCAATCATCCAACCAATGTCAGGTCCTGAGTTGTGGCCAGAGCTGGGGAACATCCTCTGAATCCACCTATAAAGAAAAAACAAGCAGGCAGACCAAAGAAATTGAGAAAAAAAGTTGCAAGTAGAGCCACCTGCAGGCACCAAAATGGCAAGGACTGCAATGAAGATGACATGTAAAAGATGTATATGACAGGCCATAACAAAATAACATGTTCTGAAGCAAATTCATAGTAGGATACAGAACAAGATGTGTAGCTAAGTCAATTACGGGCAAGGGAAAGACCTTTACACAACAGGATACAGTATCACCTTCATCACAATGCAAGGACAAGAGAAAAACCTCTACTCTCATCGAGCCACAGGCAAAGAAGAAGAAAAATGGATGAAAAAATAACATAGCTTTTTGTATGATGATCATTTTGAATAAACTTTTTGTATGGTGAATTTTTTTGTGTGATTACCTTTGGTAGAACGAAATTGAAATTGCTTTTTATTATGAACAAACGAATTATGATTAAAATGTGAATATTCTAATGAAAATTTGTTCTTTGTGTCTTTAATTAGTGAATTTTTGGATCATTGTGTTCTGGGTGCTTTGAAAGTTAAACAGGTTTGGAATTGGAACCTAAAGTAGTGCAATAGATATTCTCTGTTTTAGAGACATTGGGCTTTGGTGACCATCGAACAACAAGAAAAATGGTTGCAAAATCTTTATTATGTTCTAAATCCCTGTTATACTTTATTTTGGACAAAAAACTGTTGTAACCCTAGTAATCATACCGGATTCAC